CCCTTCGGGAGTTTGACCGGGAGACCGGGAGTTCGATTGCTTGCTGTGATGTGCGTGGACCACCAGGGGGTGGTGTGGAACATGGCGGGTGACCAGCAGTGGTGGCGGGGCGCTGAGGGAGCAAGGGAAGGGGAGACATAGAGGTGGGGGGAACTTTGTGGTTGTGGCACACCAGTGGCTGCACTCCAGTGGCTGCACCGGTGGCGAGGGAAGGAGGAGGTGGGGAGGCGGGGAACCTGATCGGCCCTGATCGCTGGCCAGGCCTAAGGGCCCTACCTGTGCACGAATTTTGTGCACCGGGCCTCTAGTGAGGAAAATAAAGCCCTACCAAATACTTCATTTTAAAGACGAGTGAGCTTCGTCCAGGTGGAGCAAGGTGTGGTGATAACATCCTGACTGTCCCCAACGATGTTCCTAAAGGACTCTTCCTGAGGGTCATTGGATTCCAGTCACTCCGGAGCCAGTCCTTGGCCAGAGTTCCTTGGGATGTCGTGGAGTTTGCCTCGATGGCCGCCAGTGGCCGATCTCAGTCTTCCCCCCTCCTGCTGAAGCTGGGCTTATCATCAACACTAGCATTTATCGCTCACTGGCTGAGAGCCTGCAGTTAACTCACGTGACTGTGTTTACTCCTCACGAGCACCCGTGAGAGAGTTGACCACCCCCCTCCCCAACAAGGGAGCGGACACAGGCAGGAGAAGAACCTGCCCGGGCGCCTGCTCTGAGTGGCCTTGACCCAGGCGGGCCCTGTTGGCCCGTCACTGCTCCGCTGAGTGAGGAGCCACGTGGGCGTGAAGGCAGCACTCTCAACATGGAAAAACCGATCACGTTCTAAACGTGTCCAGTTCCCACCACCTGTAACGTGGATGTAATGGTGGCTCTTGATTCATGGTCGTAGACTCTTACTGTGCAGGTTTGGGTAGGACTGAGGATACTGTCGAAGAAGGAGGTCTTTGTTGGAGTGGGTAATAGAATTGCCACAGATCTTACCTCCCACCTTGGGAATAGATTGTTTAAGACCTTTTGCCTCTCAATATTCTGTGTCTGATTGGTAGGTGTGCCATGCAGATTTGTGCCATAAATGTACGAGCACATTCCTTTTCCCCAGAATATGTATTTCTGCTACGTAGTCTCCACTCAGCGAAAGGTTGTCTTATCCCCTAGTTTCCTTCCTTCATTCAGCTCTTTATTGAGCATCTACTAAGCCCTGGGCATTGTCCGAGGTGCTAGAGAGGAAATGATGAGCCATTCAGGGCCCCACTCTCGCGGAGAGGGGCGTCATCTGGAGAAGACAGCGGGGCTGCAGTGTGAAAACGACACAGCAGGGTCTGGGGACTGAGAATTTTTAGGAACAAAGTGGAAGGTGTTTCCAAGAGTGCGGTTCGATGAGGACGACATCTGCCACAGCGGCTGGGAAGAGGGTGGTTGGGGGGCTGGGGAGGTGGGATTTTCAGAGCTTCCAGGAGGGACTGGTCCGTAGCGGCCGGTGGTGCTGGAAGGCTGGAGGCGGGGGAGATGGGGTGAGTGTACAGAGGTCAGTGTGACCTTGGCTGGCACTGGACAGCGAGGCAGAAGCCCCGTCCCAGCAGGCTGTGGAGAGAGAACTGAGACAGGAGAGGCCCACGGATGCTCGGCCAGGAAGAGGGGGAGAGGCAGGAGCTGGAGGCAGTGTGTTTGGGGTGTTGCTGTTTGTTTTTTAAGATGTGGACCCACAATTTGCCATCAGCTCCTCCCTTAGTTCTGAGCATTTCTGGGTCCTGCCACTGGGGTCACAGGCAGGTTTTAGAGAAAGGCCGGGGGCACCTCATTCTTCCTGGCCGGGTTCCCAACTGCAGGGGCCAGGACACGTCTCCCACCTCTGCTGCTTCCCCTTTTCAAGTTTCATCTCCAAGCCCTTTCCCCGGTCACTCAACACACTTACAATAAATGCTGCATTTCTGCCTTCCTCCTTGTGGGACATGAATAATATCTTCCTCAGGCGCTTCTCAGGCATGGTTGTGCTTCGAAAGCACAAAACATTCCACGAATCTGAGGCTGCGTGTCTTTCAGTGTCCCTTACGGGGCTGACTGGGGTGTTCTGGGGTGAGATTGTCGTGTGTGAGGCAGGAAATGGTTTTGGGAATTCCCGGGATAAGGGAAGCAGCAGGCGACGTTGCTGGCCTGTGGAGTGGGGTGTGGTGTCCAGACGAAACCTGCACCCCGAGCCTCCGCGTTCCGACCCTTTACAGTGGATCGTGCACAATTATAGGGCAAGTGGCATTCTTCTTTATTTTTTTTCCTTTTCAGTTGACATTACTTGCCCTGGCCCTGGGGACTGAGAATTTTTAGGAACAAAGTGGAAGGTGTTTCCAAGAGTGCGGTTCGATGAGGACGACATCTGCCACAGGACGAAATCAGCCTGAGAAATGTCCGTTCCCAGCATCCTTGGGCAGGAGAAGGGGTTGGCTGGTTTACTGCTCAGAAACATTACTAGAAGCAACCCTACCCCTACCCGCCTCCTCCCCGCGTGTTTACTGCTCCCTGGATGTCCATCCCTCGCCTGATGGGGTGGCTGCCTCAATTATCGGGGTGATCTGTCTCCTTGAATCACACTGTAGGAACGGCCGAGGCGGTGACCAACGTTGCCGAGCCGTGGCTCTGAATTTTCTTGAAAGCCAGCTTCTGCTGAGCTGGCCGGGAAGGCTGGACAGAAGGCCCGGGCACCTGGAGTCGTCTGTGAAGGAACACAGCCTGTGTTTGGGGAGCTTTCTCCGCTTTTGTGGCCCTGCCTCTGTGGCAGGATCGTGAGGACGGGGGTGTGTCAAGGACGTGGTTCTGATATGATGCAGAGGCTGTGGGTGGAATTCCACACCCAGGAAAGAGGGCAGTGTCTGCCAAGACAGTCCCCGGCAGTCACTGGGGCCATTGTGCCAAGGACAATAGCCTTGTGTCCACTGTGGCCACGCCCGTGCGCAGGCGCGGGGGACGGGGATGTGGAATGCCAGCCTGGGAACCAGAGTCCTGCCAGGCTGTCGGCTGTGTGGTTGCCAGTGAGACTCAGGGGACTGTTGTAGAAATGGCTCGCTTTCCTCACTGACCACCAGCTCGGAGAGGAGGGATGTTGGTTCCGGAATCTATATGTTGTTATCTGGGACTTTTCATGACTGAGAAAGAGAAATCCTCACTGCACTGCCTTCTCTGAAAGGCCTGAAATTCCCCAATTGGCCTCATGAAGGGATTCTGGGGTTTTATTCCCCCTCCTCCTCCACGTCTCTGCTGCTTCCACCCGGGCAACTTGAAGAGCTCACCTGGCCTCCAGGAAACATTTAAACCCCAGAGATAGTGATGCAGACTCAGGGCCCTGGGAGCTACATATATAGGGTGTCCCCCCAAAATGGGTACACACACATTGAATCATTATAAAGGCAGCGTTTATTAAAATACATTTCATTCTCAGAATTGAGCTGTCAGCTGTTAAAGTGAGTATACATTTTGGGGGACACTCTGTATTCGCTCATGTTGCCTGGACCGGGCGTCTGCTGTTGGGACAGTGGCCCTGGTGCTGGGCAAGTTTCATTCTGATGGCCGATCAGGTCGGGCCCTTGCTGTTTCTCATGGATCACGTGTGCTATTGTGACGCGTAAGAAGAAACATATACTCAGTCTTCATCTCAGTTCCTGGCAGAGCTCCTGAAACCCTCACAAGTTCCTAAGTGACTAGAGCAGTGATGGCGAACCTATGACACGCGTGTCAGAGGTGACACGCGAACTCATTTTTTTGGTTGATTTTTCTTTGTTAAATGGCATTTAAATATATAAAATGAATATCAAAAATATAAGTCTTTGTTTTACTATGGTTGCAAATATCAAAAAATTTCTATATGTGACAGGGCACCAGAGTTAAGTTAGGGTTTTTCAAAAGGCTGACACGCCGAGCTCAAAAGGTTCGCCATCACTGGACTAGAGTGATAAAGGTGCCTTTTGTTATTCCTCACAAGCCCCTTCCAGCCACACCCAGGTACCTTCCCGAGCTGGCCTTCGGAGAGCCCCTGAGGATGGGGAGCTACCTGGGATAGAAGACTGGAACTTTCAGCCTCACCCCTCCTGGCGGGCAGGGGGTAGGGGGGTGGGGGGGGGCGGGCGCGGTTAGAAGCTGAATCAGTCACCAATGGCCAAAGATTTCGTCAATTATGCCCAGTGTGAGGCCTCCATTAAAAACTCTAAATGACATAGGAAGTGATCGGAATTGCAGAACAGGAGGGGTTGACTGGGAAGGGGCGTGAAGGGACCTTTTGGAAAGAGTAGAAATGTCTATCTTGGTTTGAGTGGACACCATGTCTAAACACATCAGTGGAAAATCTAAGATCGTGCATTTGTATTACAGTGGGGCCTTGACTTACGAGTGTCTTGACTGACGAGTTTTTTGAGATACCAGCTGTCTCTTGGCCGATTTTTTGCATTGAGTTGATAGAGTAATTTGACTTAACGAGCTCCTTAACGAGCTCCTTAATGAGCTCGGTCTAGGAACGAATTAAACTCGTAAGTCAAGGCCCCCGCTGTATATGTAAATTATACCTCATTAAAACAAAAAATGAGACCTGTGACCAGGTGCTATGCAGCGGGAATGAGGGAGGCCCCGTTGGATCAGGAATTCCAAGTGAGATGGGAAAGGCAGGAGTTGGTGAGCCCAGTCAGGTGACAGACCTGGGCAACAGCCGGGGTGAGAAGGGCCTGCCTTGTTCGTGCCAATGGCTTAGGAAGGAAATCCCCGCTATTTCGTGAGATTTGTTCTCTGTAAGGCTTGCTGTGGGTTGGAGGCAAAACCGTTTCCCCTCCCTGCTGCAAGTTTCTTCATGGGCTGTGTTCACATGTCAGTGTTATAACAGCTTTTTAAAAATTTTCCAATCGATACATATGTTTCCAAGCAATAAATGATTAGTAGTTAATTTTTAGAAGAATCATTCAAGAATATGGTCCTATTCAAGTAACCTGATGGTCTCTCTCTTTTTCCTTTAAAAATAAAAGCTGCAGATTCTTGTTGACACCGGGAGCAGCAACTTCGCCGTGGCCGGCGCCCCGCATCCTTACATAGACTCCTACTTTGACACCCAGAGGTGAGTGATGGGTCTGGCCAGGCTTGGGGGCACCACACCAATACTTCAAAGGACCCTGGAGTAGAACAGCCCAAAGTCTGTTTCCTCTTAAGGAAGATGTATGTGTGTATATAGTTGTGTGTATGTGTATACGTTTGTGTGTGTGTGTGTAGTGTATGTGTGAATGCATCTGTGTTCATTCCAGGGGAATCCATAGGAAATTCTAATCGTCTCTGTACATGCTCACGAGATTCGCTCTAAAAAAGTGCCAGTCGGCACTCGGTGGAGGCCGGGAGGAGGTTCTCGCTGCCTTCCCCAGTTTCTCAGAGGCTTCTGCTCTGAGCACAGCGCCTGCGCTGTGATGCCTGTTCGCTTGGCCCTCTGATCTCCCTCGGTTGTAACAAGGCTCGGTTGGGTTTCTCGGCCTCCGATTCAAGTCCCCCAGACATTGGGTATTCAGGCTTCATGCTTCCTGAAGCATTTCCCCAGTAATTGGGGATTGGGCTTGGGGCCCTTTGACAAGGTCTCTTTGATTTATGAGATGAGACGTCAGGCTACCATGAGTCATTTGTGTGGCGCGTTCCCATCAGACGCCCGCTGCCCAGGGCGGCGAGTGTCGCGCGAACTAATCTGCAGCAAAAGGGAGACGGTGTGCTTTTCAAAATGTGCTTCTTTTTTAGCCAACGAAACAGCCTCCAGCCAGTTGGCTTGATGAGAGATTCAATATACTCATCCTTCCTGACCTACTAATCTATTCAGGAAATTAAGTATAATTCTATTAGCATTTCCCCGCCTCCCACACTCCACCTGGAACCCACAGATCAGTGAGGCATGGGAGCAATTTCTTTCCTCGACAGGCGCCTGTCAGTGGAGTTAGAATATGCGAGAAGTACCTGGTGACCTGAAGGAGGCTGAGCTGGACAACCCGAGACCAAATGCCTCCTCTGTCCATGTGACAGTGACAGACATTTTTGCCTGATTTTTTCCCCCCAAATATGTTTTTATTGATTTTAGAGAGAGGAGAAGGGAGAGGGGGGGCATCAATGATGAGAGAGAATCCTCAATCAGCTGCTTCCTGCACACCCCCTACTGGGGATAGAGCCCGCAACCTATGCATGTGTCCTGACTGAGAATTGAACTGGTGACCTCTAGATTCATGGGTGGACGCTCAACCCCAGAGCCACACCGGCCAGGCTTGCCTGACTCTTTAGATAAGGTATTGAGCCTGCCCGTTGTTTGAGTGGCCAGGGGGCACTGGCCCTATTGGAGCCCACTGGCATGCGCCATTGTTGAGAATGCTGATGAACCACCAGGTCAGGCAGGCTAACTGAGAGCCCTCGGGCCGTCTGCGACCCACTGTTCCGGTCACTTCCAGGACCGTGGAAGAGTCGGGGGGATCTGGCCCCCGGCCAACCACCCTGAAGGTAACTCTGAAACGTGCAGAGACGCCCCAGGAAGGAGTTGGCGGAGTCCTGCGGGACCCTCCGGGGTGGTATGACTCAGGAGAGCCCTCCTCCTTCTCTTTCATGTTTTCTGAAACCACCCAGGTTTCTTTTGCAATAACGACACGTGCTGGGCTCTCTTCTCCTCCGTCCCATTGATTTCACTTTTCAATCCCAAGTTCCCTGAACACCCTTATCAGAGGAGAGGTCTCCTGAATTTGGTGCAAAGCGATTTTATTGTGGCGCGTGGACTTTTTCCTGGCTCCCCGCGTCCTTGGTGGATTGCTGTTTCTGGGCACGCAGAGGGATGCTGTCAAGAAGAAGCCGATCTGGGCTCCCTCTCGATTTGGGTAATTAATGTGCAGAGCAGTTGAGAGCCAAGGCTTTTCAACGCCAAGAGGTAGGACGTTAGAACGTGAAGAGGGAGGAATGCACTTGATTTTTAATTTAGTGCTGGACACTGTGCGCTGATGACCCGCAGAGCTGCTTACGGTTCGTCTCTGGGCCCTGGGTTGGGTTTGCGGATCCCAGGGGATATGGTTTAGGAGCGCTTTCTCCCTTTGTCTGGAGCCGTGCTTTCCGCAAGGGCCGCCATTAGCCACGTGTGGCTCGTTAATTAATGTTAAGTAAATGTTCCGTGTTTGGCCACACCACAATCACTTTTGAAGGGCTCCATAGCCACCCATGGCTGCCGTATGGGACGGCATCCAGAGACTGTTCTCACAGCAAGGTCTCGTGGGCAGTGCTGGTCTGAAACACAACTGTACCTTTTTAAAATATATATGTATTTTTATTGATTTCAGAGAGGAAGGGAGAGGGAGAGAGAGAAACATCAGTGATGAAGGAGAATCCTTGATTGGCTGCCCCCTGCACACCCTCCACTGGGGGTCGAGCCTGCAACCCGGGCATGTGCCCTTGACCGGAATAGAACCTGGGACCCTTCAATCCGCAGGTCAGTGCTCTCTCCACTGAGCCACACCAGCCAGGGCCAACTGTGCCGTCTATAAACCTGCAAGGCTCCTCCACTTTCCTGGCCGCCTTAACCAAGCCTTCCCCACACACTTGCCCCCTCCAGTGGGGGTGGCTAGACCTCAGAATGAGACAGTTTTGGATATTCAGTAAGAGGAGCGCTACAGAAGATTTTCTAGGGGGAAAAACCCTACATTCTCCAATAATTCATACATGGAGTAAAGGTAACAAGTGATTAGATCATTATAACAGCAGCTATTTTTGTTGTATACCTGCTGTGTTCCAGGGTTTTGTTCCAAGTGCTTTACATATTCACTCTTTAATCCTCAAAATTAACCCCACGAGGGATGGTGCTGTATTCTCCCCATTTTGAGTTGAGGAAACTGGGGCATGGCGAGGTTAAATGGCGTGACCCAGGGTCACACAGCTGATAAGTGGCTGCCCTGGTATTTGAACCTGAGCCGTGTAGCTGCAACTGCCTCTCATCTCCCTGCAAATGACAACAACACATCCAGATTGTCCCCCGCCAAGAGGGGACTGGCAGCCTGGCCGGAAAACTACAGAAGACATATCCAGTTCAGGCTCTCAGCGCGAACCTGAGCAGATTCTATTGTTCTCTGTAGCCTGGACGCAGGGAAAGGAAAACCATTTCTCAAAAGAAAGTGATGGTACTTTTCCACTGTTCGGGGGAGATAGCTGATCTCCAAGGTCAGGAGCTGGCACACTAGGGCCCACAGGCTACATGGGACCGCCTGTCTGCTTTGTAAATAAAGTTTTATTGGAACACAGCCAGCCAGGCACATTTGCTTATGTATTGCCAGAGGCTGCTTGCTCATTATCCTCACATAGCGGAGTAGCTGAAACGGAGGTCATGTGACCCACAAAAACTTAACCATGTATTTTCCGGCCCTTTACAGAAAGGGGTGCCGACCCTGTGCTAGATCATATTCTCTGAGCATTTCAAAAGAATTAGCATCTTCTGTTAGCAGTTGTGTGTTTTTGAACTTGAGGGATGACCCCAAATTGTCGGAAGGGACTGAATAATTCACTGTTTTTGTTACTATTCGGCGTAAGCGAATGCAGCCCCGGCTGTCTGCCAAGCACGCCTGAGTTTCTGTTGGCACGAACGCTTGGCATTTCACCAGTCCTCAGGCGCCCACCTTTCCCTGACCGGACTCTGCACATCCCCCAAGTCATTTCTGGAGAGGCCCAGCGCTCCCCACTCTCGACCGTCCTCTGTACCTGCCCTTGTCAGGACTGTGCACGTCATGCAGCTCTCACTTTAAGGACGTGAGCTAACGTAGTAAATATTAAAGCTATGCGTTCTTCATAGTCTACATTCCATTTCAAAGTTAGAATGAATTAAGTCTTTCCAAAATCTGTCTGCCTTGACATTCTTAAAATAACTTTTCCCCCTAATTATAAAAGTTATATATATATATATATATATATATATATCCCCTGATGATAAAAGTTATAAATAATTTTCCCCCAATTATAAAAGTTACATATATGAAAGTTAGAGGCTTGGCCAGTGTGGCTCAGTGAGTTGGAACTTTATGCCATATACTGAAAGGTTGCAGGTTTGATGCCTAGTCAGGGCACATATCTAGGTTGCCGGTTTGATCACTGGTGGAGGCACGTATGGGAGGCAGCTTATCAATGTTTCTCTCTCTCCCCCTTTCCCTCTCCTTCTCCCTCCCTCCCTTCCACTCTCTCTGAAATCAATAAGCATACCCTCGGGTGAAGATATTTTTAAAAGTTGTATATTCCCCTAATTATAAAAGTTATGTGTTCTCTCGCCCGGCTGGGGTGGTCATTGGTTGAGTGTCAACCCATGAACCAGGAGGTCACCCGAGACTGAATCCCAGTCGAGGGCACATGCCCAGGTTTCGGGCTCGATCCCCAGTAGGGGGCGTGCAGGAGGCAGCTGATTAATGATTCTTTCTCATCATTGATGTTTCTGTCTCTTTTTCCCTCTCCCTTCTTCTCTCTGAAGTCATTAAAAAACATATTTTAAAAAGTTACTTATGTTCTCCTAAATATAAAAGTTACGTGTATGAAGGGCCTAACCAAAAGAGCAAGCATTTCCCCCACAAAACCCCACCACGCTTCTTGAAGAAGATTCTGCCACATATATACATTTCTTTAATTTTTTTTGTCATTGGAAATTTCTCAGTAAATACTGTTTTTTAATGCTGTGTAATATTCCATCGTATGGATGTATGATAATTTACTAAACAGCTCCTCTGTGGGCATGTGGGTGGTTTCCAGTTGTTACTGTTCTCGGTGAAACATAATGACTGTCTTTGTGCATAAACCTCTGTCTGCTTCCTGGGTGTCTCCTTAGGGTCAGAGTCTCAGGAGTGCAATTTACTGAATCAAAGGCCATTGTTTTAAAACCTCTCTGATGTGCCAAAAAAAAGGAGGTCTTGTCATCTCTGACCACCTGTGCTTCCCGACTCCAAAGAGGACTACACTAATTCATGGAATTCTAACACAAAGGCGTGTTAACATTCATGTTTAGAGACTTAATATTAGGACAGAGGGGGAGTGAAAACTGGAGGCCACCAAGAACATTCTAGATCAAGCATGTCAAACTCACGAACCCCAGGCCGCATGTGGCCCACAACGAATATTTTTGCGGCCCAGTCAATATAACGGTATGTAAGAAACGTTTTAATACAAATTTTGTGACCTAATTTTTACAATATCCTGTTATATGTAATTATTAATAATGAACTGTAACATTCGCTAGTGACTGATCACTATCATCGTGTTGCATTCACTTCCCTCACATGCCTGACATGCAGGCGCACCATTTCTCTCCACTAATACCAGCAGCGAATATTTTAGTAGCTGATGGCCACGGCATTAGTCTTGGACTGACTTGTTTGGTGTGCGCAACAGGAAATATTTCACTTTCGGAGAACAAGAAAAATAGGTTTATTTGCATTACGCTTGTTAATTTGTGCAGTTATTCAGTGTCTGGTAAGTTAATGTTCAAGAAAAAATATTAATTTTTATTAAAATGTTCTATTTTTTTTATGTTAACAATGACTCATTTATTTCAGTCCTTTGTATTCACTGTGTCTCTATCGAAATAAACCCACGTTGCTATGAAAATTGAAGCTTTTGTTTTTTTGCGGCCCCCATAAACTTAAACCATGTTTACTTGGCCCGTGTGAGCCTTGAGTTTGACATGCTTGCTGTAGCTCTATCCCCTGGATAGCTCTCACCACGGGAGTTGTATGTGTTCACCTGCCTGTTGTCTGTCTGTGTCATTTGTCCTGTCCATGGTCTTATCTCGTTCTATCACTGTGTTTGAGTAACTCCTGCGCTTAGGGCTGCATGCATATGGGGTGGGAGATGGTCTCGCAATGATTTGCATCAAGCATGCCATTGCTTCACCCCCCACATTCTGCTGTGAGTCTAACCAACTTGGGGGCGTTGGGGGGAGCCCTGAAGGAACCTGGGACATCAGGGGGTAGTGTGGGGCCTGAGGGGGAGGAAGGCCTGTGGCATTGGCGGGAATGGCTTCGTCTTTACTCACTTCACTGGTTGTGTGAATCTGAGCCCTCGGCCGCTGCTGGCACAAGCTGCTGGCGCTGCTCGCCCCTCCCTCTGTCACCAAGCCCGGTGCAGGGTCCCCACCCAGCCAGACGGCCAGGCAGGGGCCCACACTCAGTTGTGCCTTCACAGGCTGACCCGGTAACGTGAAGCAGCTGGCCTGTGGGCCTTTACGGGGGTGCGAGAGGGGTATGCCTAGGGGCCACATGTTAACCCAGTATTTCCTGCTACAGCTGTCGCCCACACAGTAGTAGCGATCCGTGTGGGGGAGATGTGGCTGTGTCCAGTGCGCACTGGTGGGAACTGCTTGCAGCTGACTGGGTTTAGGACAGCTGTCAGCCACCACGGCCGGCCAGCGGGACACGGACTTCAGGCAGAACACGACCCTGCCTTCTCTTCTCCCTCCAGGTCCAGCACTTACCGTCCCAAGGGCTTTGATGTCACCGTGAAGTACACGCAAGGCAGCTGGACGGGCTCCGTGGGGGAGGACGTGGTCACCATCACAAAGGGCTTCAACACTTCCTTCCTCGTCAACATCGCCACCATCTTCGAGTCGGAGAATTTCTTCCTGCCTGGCGTTCAGTGGAATGGGATCCTGGGGCTCGCTTACGCGGCCCTGGCCAAGGTGAGCATCATCAGGGGCCGCAGGAACCGAGTGATGGGAGGAGGTTCTGCAAACCCCTCGTCAGAGGGGCCGGTGAACGGGTCCAGGCCGTCGGAGATGGTCAGACAGGATCACAGGCTGACACACCACTGGTCACACGGTTCATGAAATTTCTAGGCATTTTTAAAATTAAAGGGACATGGCACAATTTTTGAATCTTCCTGCAAGATAACCTGGTACCATTACTTATTGATCGTCTTTTGTTTTTATCTATTTTGCTCGTATAGTTTGAAAATATTGAGAACCTGAATCACTTTGTGGTTTTGTTTAGGAGTTTTTATTCGCGTAGGGTTCAGAGAAAACACATTTATTACATTCAGACGCTCCTGTGAAGATGGAACCTAAAGGGGACACGGGGACCTCGGCAGGGGGTGGCCCGGCAGGCTGAGAGGGCCTCTGAGGGACACCTGCGGCCGGAGCAGGGACACCTGGGGAGCGAGCCTGCCTTGGGACCACCGGCCACTGGAAGTAGTCACAGGCCGAGGAAAAGGGGGACCCTTGCTCTCAGCAGCATCAGCACCTTCGCAAGCAGGAAGGGCAGGGCTGCACGCTCTCCAGTGTTTGCCGTGGAGGAAGCGCCGCTGGCGGGCGGGAGAGGGAGGCGGGCTGGCCGAGGCCAAGGCTGGGGACTTTCCACAGGGAAGGGCTGCCAGGGGCAGGCGGCTTAGTTGAGCACCTCTGGGCAGGTCTGCAGACACCTGAGCAAAGCAGAAGGAGGGCACCCCTCCTGCCTGTGCCCGGGCACCACACCTCCTCGCTCAGGGTCAGGCTTTGAGCAGAGCTAAGTGGGAGCCCGGGCAGGAGCAGCAGGCCAGTGAGCACAGAGCCCCAGGGTCCCTGAGGGTCCCAGAGGGAAGGCCTGCTCTCTCGCCTCATAAGGACATTTGTTCCAGCTCAAGTTTACTAGCAAATGGTGCAGGGGCGGGGGAGGGTGGGGGAGTAGGGGGGACAGTGAGCGGGCGGGGGTGGGGGGTCCCCAGTCCTGTGGTTTCTCAAGGAGAAAGACTAGCCTGAGACACGCGGCTGAGAACATCAAAGATGTCAGTTCTCGTGAGCTCCCCGAGGGGCTGACTGTGTAAGGTCAAGTAACCCCACTTTCGAGGTGTGTATACTGAGGATCAGAGGTTCCGCCTCGCCCAGGTCAGTCAGAGCCCCAGCTGCCGTGTCTCACTGTCTGTGGGACCCAGACCGGTTCCGGAACCCCCTCTTTTCTTGGTACCGTAGGCTGAGCTTAGTATGAGATTTGCGTGACTTTCATTTCTTAATATATTTTCACCAACCATGTGACCCCGGGCAAATCATTTCATCTTCATGTGACTTTGAAAGTGAAAGATGTGGGTCTGACTGTTTTCATGCTGGTTATTTGGAAGACGGTAGAGGCGTGCTAAATGATCCGGAACGAGGCGCATGTGAAACTTCCCTGGGAATAACCTACGTGGGGGTTTCCGGACTTTCCACGTGACATTTTATCTTTTCATCTGTGAAATTCCAAGACGAGCAGCAATTGGCCCCACACTCGTGGAGCTGGGGAGACAGAGAGAGGATGTGTAGGGGGCGGGGACAGGCAGGGCGGTTGGGTGGTGGCCCCAAGCGTTTCTGAATTGGGTTGACGAACGGTGAGTGGTGGCCATGGTGTGTGGCGGTCCCTGGTGGACCCCAGAGGCTTCCCACCGAGGAACCACCCACAGGGGCTCCCCTCCTACAGATGCCAGGTCCAAGCACACCCCTGAATCAGGTTCTCTTGGTCATGGGAACGGTGTGCTTTGAAACCTCTACAGGGGCGCTGGGCACAGTCCTACTGAAGGTGACCTGACCGAATCATAACAGATCCCTGACTGTGCCAGGCTCTGTGCCCAGCCTTTATGAGATAACACCCAGCTAAGCTGAGAACCGCTCTAGGAGCCCATTATCATCCCATTTTACAGGTAGGGAAACAAAGGGGCAAGTCCCAGGGTTAAGATGGATGACAGAAGAACACCCCCTGGGTCAGCACCAGCCCAACCCGTGTCCACACCCCCTGGGCCAGCACCGGCCCAACCCGTGTCCAGAGACGCCTTCGTCTCACTCACTAACCCAAACACAAAGTCCTACAACAAAGACATAGAGACATCGTCCTAGACTCGCCAGATTCCACCGGAGCTGAGTGGGAGACAGTGCAAATGAGCTCAACAGATGGGAAGATGTATGTTTGCTAGGGGGGCTCTCTCCTTCCTCCCTCCAGAATTATAGATCATAAGTTTTATTATCTTGTAGATAATAAATGACCGTGCCTTCTGTGAACCACACATTGGAATGTGCCTATAGCATCCATGCTATTACAATTAAGTTTCCACCAAAAACTAACTCTCCTGTCTCCCAGCTGTCAAAGCCCAAATCTAAATGCAAGCCTATGACCTTCCTTTGTGACCACCAGCACCCGTGGCCCACCCCCACCTCAGAGCTGTCTGAAGACCATCCCCCTCTCTCTTCTGAGTCCTGGAGCAGTGGGGGCGCCCTCGGCATGGATGGCTCCGTGTAAGGAAGGCATAGAGTGAAATTCGGCGGTGGGGAATCAATGATCCGGCTTTTCAACTTGAGGAGCAGAGCAATGTTCCTTTTCTGCTAAATCCCCGCTCACCGGAGTTCAGCAGACAGCTGGCTGAGCCACCCCCTGTCCCTGGTCTGGGGTCTGAGACAAACTGTCCCCTGGGTCCAGCATCTCTAACTTGCATGATGGACAGACAACTGTGGCTGAAAGAGGTGCAGACAACCTCCGGCCCGGGAGACCCTGCTCTCTCCTTCCTCCGAAATGTCTGCAGTTAGAGTCCACCCGTTACCGTGGAAACCCTCTTCCCCAGCTTCTCACGCCGCCTCGCTGGGCAGTCGTGATGATAAATAGGACAGCCTCCCCATAGCTTCCGGGAGCACTCTCACTCCTACAACCGACAGGAAAAATGCCACGTGGTAGGAAGTCCTGTTGGAGGGTTGTGAGTTATTGTTGAAGGTACTTAATCCTAAGCTTGTTTATTGTTTAGCCGCGAGAAACGTGAAATATAAATTCGCAGTGGTGTCGACCCTGGGTGACTCCTCGTCTGGCCTGTGAGTCTGAAGCCTTGTTCCTGTCCTCCCTCCGCAGCCATCGAGTTCTCTGGAGACGTTCTTCGATTCCCTCGTGACGCAAGCCGGGATCCCCAACGTTTTCTCCATGCAGATGTGTGGGGCGGGATTGCCCGTGGATGGATCTGGTACCAACGGAGGTAGTCTTGTGGGTATCTTTCCGTCTGAAAGAGGCGAAAGAAACTCACAAACCACTGGGGCTTTTTTTATTTTATTTTATTAAAGACCCTGATAGAAATACTAGACATGTAGACAAACATAGGTCTTAGAGGGGTTTGATAACCCTTATTATAGAACCTTTTTTAAAATGAATAAAATTAGCTATTATTTTTACCTTTCCTAATCGTCCTGCCATCCAAAAGATGATTCTCATGGCTTCCCCAAATTCCATTAAAGCTTTTTTAAAGTTTTCCTTTGAAAGGTAACTGGTTTTGATGGGTGAGGGAGGGGCAGGTGAGAAATAGCAGGGGGTGTGCAGGTGGGCCTCAATCTGGGGAGGGGACACAAAGGCAGTGCCTGTGATTTCATACATTTGGGGAGACAAGAACACCTGTATGTTCCCCCGCCCCCAATACACACACACACACACACACACACACACACACACACACAGAGCTAAAGTGTCAGTTAGTGAAACAGAATCATTCAAGGCCATCAGCCCTGAGTGTCCCTTGATGGAGCCTGCACCCTGATGTCTCAAGCAGGAGGTGACAGGTGAATGCACAGGAGGGCGCCTTCCTCAGGGTGGGTGCTGCCTACGCCTTTGCTCTCCAGCTGTGAGAAGCAGCCTCGGCCACTTGCATTTGCTATCAGTGCAGTTGCTCTTTCCTTTTAAGCTACATTTGTATTGGTTTCAGAGAGGAAGGGAGAGGCAGAGCGAGAGATAGAAGCATCAACAATGAGTGAGAATCATTGATTGGCTGCCTCCTGCACGTCCCCTCCTGGGGATGGATCCCGCAACCCGGGTACATGCCCTTGACCAGAATCAAACCAGGACCCTTCAGTCCGCAGTCCGATGCTCTATCCACTGAGCCAAACTGGCTAGGGCAGTGCAGCTGCTTTTGATACCTGGTTACCCCCTCTTCAGGGGAGAGGGGGGCCTAGGATTTGTGGAGCAAGGTTATGTAGTTCTGCAAAATGAAGTTTTGATTAAGGAAGCTCCCTTGTGTTCTGCTTCCAAGCACTGTGTGGGAGGGAGGGGGGCGTCCTCTGTTCCGAGGGCTAAGCCACGGTCAGGCTGGGTGGTCAACCACGTCACTGCATTTCTTTGGGGCACAGTCTGCGTCCGGTGAAGCTGGAGTTACGTGTGCTTCCTGTCGGACGGGAAACCCCAGCGCATCTTGATTAGACCGGGGCAGAGTGTTGTCTGACCTGTGGCTGCATCGCCCTTAACGGTCCCTGTTCACTTTTCAAGCATCTACTAGTACATTTGTTTTGTGACATCAGGCTGGAGTGAAAGTGCGATTCCAGTGAGGGATTGACTTACAAGGGCTCGCTCTTTGTGTCACGTGCTGTATGTCTGGGTGTTTTCTCTCTCATCCCTGTTACTATTTTCCTTCCTAGGTCCTGGGAGGAATTGAACCAAGTTTGTACAAAGGAGACATCTGGTATACCCCGATTAAGGAGGAGTGGTATTACCAGATCGAAATTCTGAAGTTGGAAATCGGAGGCCAGAGCCTTAATCTGGACTGCAGAGAGGTACCTACCCTGTGAGCTCTTTGTGCCTGCCTGTCTGTGTGTGCCCGAGGCACCTAAATATGGCAGCTGGGACCTGCATATGAAAAATCAGAAGGTACATTACACCACAAGATAAATCAAAGATTCATGACATTAAAAGTTACAGGGCCTTTAGTTATGTGACAAGTTTAAATCGACCCCTCTCTAAAATAAATAAAAATGGTTTTTCACCATCACTTGGCTTAATAGGAAAAAAATTAGCACAACATGGTGAGTGAGGAGAAGTACCTGGAGCTACACCTTCGCCGTTCCTATGGGCCTGGTGGTCCCTGACTCTGCTGCATTATACAGGTTTCGTCAGTGTCAGGGACAGAGGGGGACAAAAATAAGCCGAATGAAAGCAAAAATGAATCATCAGCTTCATCTTTCCTTCAGAGTTAACCATCCCCCGCCCCCCTATATAATTCTCACTCAGAGGAAAGTTATGCCCTAAGGATGTGAATGGCTTGCTATGCTAAAAGGAGGCCGGTGTGCAGGGCTGCAAGACCAGAGCCGTTACGAACCTGCTCACACCGCTCACGGCACGGTGGCGTATCTGTGGCACATCTGTGGCGCATGATGGCGTCATGATTATGATGACTTGAGGGAGCCTTCTTCCGCTAGCATATTCTCAGAATGGCTTATGAAAGCCATCAGCATTTCATTATATCCCTTTCTCGTGCCTCCAACCTCAGCATCCCGCCCTTTCATACGCCCCGTCACAGTCCCCCACCAAGGCCCATGCACACAGACGCCTCTGAGAAACCCGCGGGGACGGGATAGACGGTGGCCGTTCCACCGAGACTGCGCGTCCACCGCTCTGTTAAAGGTCAGAGGGCACTTACTCGCCATGAAGGAATCCCGTGGTAGAATCCCAGGGCCTGAAATAAAATACAGACTGTGCGGGGGTGTGACGCTCTGACTGAATGTGGTTCTGGTTCTCTTTCCATGGGCAGCATAAGGGAGGGCTGGCTTGTGTGAGTTGTGCGAACGGCATTTCATGAGCCATCGCACCCTCTGAGGACAAGGGGGCCTTCCCTGGTTGCGCGGGAGGCTCCCGGGCAAGGGCATTTGGGCACCTCTACACAAGGGACAGGCTCTGCACCGGGAGGGCTGTGGATTTTGGTCGCGTCACTTCCCTTTTCTGGCCTCAGTTTCTTCATCTGTGAAGTGAGAACGTTGGGCTAAAAGTTAGTTCTGAGAATATAAAATTCATGGTAACCACCAGGAGGGGCCGTGGCTGCCCGCACTTGTAGGTACCGGATGCCGAGTGACGGCGGGCGGGTGCCGTGTCACTCACGCGCCTTCTCTCCCCGCCTTCCCCTTCCAGTATAACGCGGACAAGGCCATCGTGGACAGCGGCACCACGCTGCTGCGCCTGCCCCACAAGGTGTTCGATGCGGTGGTCGAAGGCGTGGCCCGCGCGTCTCTGGTGAGTCTCAGGGCGCGGGTGAACCTCGGAGAACACCAGGTCATGGCCACGTGCTGGGCAGTGCTACCCTCTATTCCAGTGATGGCGAACCTTTTGGGCTCGGCGTGTCAGCCTTTTGAAAAACCCTAACTTTAACTCTGGTGCCGTGTCACACATAGAAATTTTTTTCTATTTACAACCATAGTAAAACAAGACTTATATTTTTTGATATTTATTTTATATATTTAAATGCCATTTAACAAAGAAAAATCAACCAAAAAAATGAGTTCGCGTGTCACCTCTGACACGCGTGTCATAGGTTCGCCATCACTGCTCTAATGGTCTCCCTCTGAGGGTTTAAGGGTTGTGTGTGTTTTTTAACTATTACTTATTAAGTTCACAATCTTATTATTTGATGTTAACTGGCAAATAATTATTTCATTTTAACCTGGGAGAACTGGGATCTGAAGGTGCAGCGCCTTTTTTTGTATTTCAAATGATGGTGTAGTTGGTGCAATACAGTTTTTTAATCTAAGAAAAAAATTGACAACATGCTACGTTAAAATAGTAAACCAGGAAGATGCTTGTAGCCTTTAAAACTAAAGAAATAAACCAAAAATCATACTCCTTTCAGGCCTCATTAAAGCCATGTTGGGATTTTAATTCTGTTGTAAAAGAGTGTGATTTATAGGTGACAAGGATTAGTTGGCCAATATAATAATTACTGTATGGTCACGTTCAGTAACATAACTGAAATCGTGGTCAAAGACAAGTACCTTTGGGGGACCTGGCTGATGGAATTCCCAGGGTGACCCCAATTTTCCAGTTTGAGGCATCGGAGTGGACCAGCTGGCATGGATTGGGAAGGACACAGCTTTGGGGTGAGATGGAATTGAATTTAGTCTGGTTTCTGGCTGGATGAGCAGGATGCCTGGGGGAGGGTCTCGGGCCCTCTGAGAGCCCCACGTTGTCAGCGGGGTTGTGCTGAGGTCTGGGCTCCAGTGCCTGGCACCCAGGTGCTCGGGAAAGAGGAGCTGCTAGCCAGCGTCCACACTGCGGTGCTGCTACTGTGTGAATGCAGGATACACATTCTCCCAGCTGCTTGGGTGTCTTATCATAAGCATCTGTCCAGGCAGGCCACCCTGGCAAAGTCACCAGAAATGAGTGTTTCCCACAGAGTCGTTATCCTGTTACTAACTTGCCTGGTTATCTCACTGCTCCTCGGGGATGATTGATAGGAAAAGGCATAGCAGTTGCTTTATTACAGGTGATGGCAGGAACCTGGGATGGGAGAGAGGGCTTGTCCTGAATAGAAACTTCAAAAGCCTGAAACTGCCATGGGGCCCTGGCCGGTGTGGCTCAGTGGTAGAGCATTGACCTGTGCACTGAAGGGTATTCCCGGTTAAGGGCACATACCTGGGTTGCAAGTTCATTCCCTGGCCCCAGTTGGGGCGCATGCGGGAGGCAACCAATCGATGTCTCTTTCTGACATTGATGTTTCTCTCTCTCTCCCCTCCCTCCCTTCCACTCTCCCTAATAATCAATGGGAAAAAATTTCCTCGGGTAAGGATTAATGATAGATAGGTAGATAGATAGATAGATAGACAGACAGACAGACAGACATAAAACTGCCCTGGGAAGAGCAGCAGGCAAACAAAAAGAATGCAGAGGGGAAATAAAAAGGCAAGAACGCCGAGGCCCTTTTGGAACTGAAAGGTCTTCAAGGCGGCAGCCCAGAGCCGTTGAATATCCGCTGAATCAGACAGACGGCGGTGAAGTTTTAGAGCCTGACATTCAGAATGCTGGCGGCAGATCAGACCAGGCTCGATGCTCGAATTACGGAGCCATCTGCCCATTTCCCCCAACAGTGAAAATGCCCGCAGCAGGGTCCGCAGGAGCCTGGTCAGGTGTAATGCTCTGAGCTCTGAGCTGTGAGCGCTTCCCCTGGGCCAAGGAAGTGCCCAGAGCCTGGGCGTGTGCCTGATGCCAGTGGATCCTCTGTGGGCCAGGCCGTGAGAGCGCGGGGCTGTGGCTGGCAGGTGTTGGCACCCCGAGGTCATCGGATCACGCGTTGGGCAGTGCCTGGCTTTGTAGGAAAACCACGAGGTGGAGGAAGGCAGTTACGACGTTGTTTGCCTTGTCACCCCGGATGCAGTGAACCGGAGCCTGTGTCAGGAGGAGCAACCTGGGAAGGCGGTTTGCCTGGGGCAGGGTGTGCGCTGCTCTGCGGCCTTTGTGTGCGCACCAAAGGCGCGTTTGTTCTCTCTGGGCCGGGCCCCGGGAGCCGCTCCGGCCTGGTCTTCTTTCGGGTCAGGGAAAGGCTGGCCTCGGAGAGCGAACACAGGACCAGCGTTGGGCTCTGGCTCCTGCGTGGACTGTCGCCTTGGATTTTAGAAACGCATGGTGGGTGGGTGTGTATTCTGAAATGAGCCCGGTGGGGATTGGTGTGTGGCCGAGCCTGGGCTCCGCGCCTGCCCAGCTCCTGGCACCGTGCGTCTCAGGCCACGTGCCTCTGCACCTCTAAAACGCACAAGCAGAGGACCCTGCTTCCGGATGACCTCTGACATTAGAGCTCTGTGACCTGAGGCCTGAACCCCCCACGTGGCTTAGCCCCCAAGGCTTTCCAGACTCTGGAGGCAGGTGGCCCCGGAGCTAGTTCTGAGCTGTGCCCCTCAGGCCAGTTACTTGGCCTCTCTGAGCCGCATTCGCCATCTGTGGCCGGACCTGCTCTTGGTGCTGACGTTAGAGCTGTGGGCCGTGGGGCAGCCGAGCCACCCTTTCCAGCAAAATGACTGCCCCGCCTCATCGTCTGGCAAGAGGTTCGTCCCTAGGACGCCCATTTCCAATCGACTTCCCTTTTCTCAAAGGAGAAACTGCATTAAAGCCCGCATTAGAGGTCTTGCAGGTCACTCCTGGGCGGTCCAGGGGGCAGCCTTGATGGATGGAGAGACACAGGATATTTTCTCGCTCTGTTCCCGGCGGGAGGGAGGGCTGGCGCCTGTGTGTGCGGTTGTGTAGCACGGGACACACCCCGGTTCATGCTGTCCCGCCACGGTGTCCTCTGTACCTGCCCCACGTGTTCTCCACGGCAGCGTGCTTACGGCCTCGGCTTCCATCACACCCTCCTCCCGGCACCTCTTCCCAGCCCTGGGCCCTCCTTTTCGGGGTCTCTCTCCCTGCCCATGTCTCTGGGTGGGTCCTAGGCCCTGCTCCTCCCTATACTGTCCTCAGTGGTCTGTCCACGGCCACATCACCGCGTCCCACCCTCCTGTCCGGGACTCTGGAACTCAGCGGCTCGCCCTGGCTCGGCCCCCAGAGTCTGGATTCCGTCGACAAGTGACCTGCACGTCCCAATCGAATGCCGCATGACACCGGTGTGCCACGGAGCCCAGGCCTCTGAGAAACGATTTCTGATGAATGCACAGTGGTGCCCTGGTTCTGTCCTTGCCTGTCTCATGTGCCTTCCTGCCCTCTGCACCAGCCTCCATGGCTGTCGTCCGCGTCCCCAGTGCTCTCGTCTGCCCTCCCCACCACCACCACCACCACCATACCTCACCAACGCCCTTTCGCCCCTCAACTCAGCCCAGGTGTTCCTACCTCAGGGACAAACACCCACCTTCCTCCCCGTCAATACTCTCCTGGCTCTCTCCCCACCGCATACGCCCCCAGCTAACGCCCGAGCAGGGCTCTGTGCCGGAAGGGGCACGCGTGGTAGCCGAAGAGCCTCCCACACAGTCCTCCCTCGGGGAGCCGGCAGACCTGCTCTGGTGCCTTCGCTGGTCCTGGCGAGATGGCGTGGCTGGAACTTGTAATTCACTTAAAGATTCAGCAACTAGTAGACATGCTTGGGTGACTGTCCTTCCAGTCCCCTGATGAGAGGCACAGGTGGACTTTCTGTGTTCCCGCCCATTCATGTTTCCCACAATCTTTCCTGAATCTCTCTGATGGGCTAGGTGTTAGGGCCGGAAGTGAATGCAGACAGCAGGCCTCTGTCCTTAGAGGGCTCAGATCCTAGTGCAGGAAACAGAAGTGAACCTAACACAGTAAATGTCAAACTAACTGCTACGGGGGATACCCAGTGGAGGACCAGCATTATGTGGGGGAGTCAGGGAGGGCTTCCTGGAGGAGGCATCATCTGAGCTGAGATCTGGAAAGGAGAAGGATGTTCCAGAAGAGGGGAGAGCTCAGAGGGGGCTCTGCACCTGGGGGAAGCTCGCTGGGCACGGGGAATTCAAAGGAGAGGTGATGCCTGAAAGGTCCTGAGGGCCACATTTAGGATCTGGCCTCTCTTTTAAAGGGTCATTGCCAACTACTGTGTTACCTTGGGCAAGCCGCTTCGCCTCTCTGTGCTTTGGTGTCCTCATCTGTGAAGTAGAGGGGGTAATGTTACCGCAATGATGGCGGTGTTTGAGGGTTGATGTAATTATGACTGCAAAGCGCTTATAAAGGTGCCTAATGCTGGCGAGTGCCTCAGTGTTCTAATAATTGTTATTTGTCAGCACCGTTACCCCCCAGAGGACTGATGGCTCCGCTGTGCTGTCCAAATTAAGCCCTGTTTATCCCCGTGGGCATCTGGCGAGGTGACAAGAAAAGCCGGGAGCTGTTTCCTGTTGACGCGCCAGACTAGTCATTAGTTCTCACGTTACCGTGTTTTGTCTAGATTCCAGAATTCTCGGATGGTTTCTGGACTGGGTCCCAGCTGGCATGCTGGGCGAATTCCGAAACACCTTGGTCTTACTTCCCGAAAATCTCCATCTACCTGAGAGAGGAGAACTCCAGCAGATCCTTCCGCATCACTATCCTGCCTCAGGTATGAGCTTGGATTTGGGCTTTTCTCTCTTCAACGTGTAACATGCAAAAGTAAAGCCCTTCATGCATAATATCTAATCATCGATACCTAATATCAAAAATATAAATCTTTGTTTTACTATGGTTGCAAATATCAAAAAATTTCTATATGTGACACAGCACCAGAGTTAAGTTAGGGTTTTTCAAAATGCTGACACGCCGAGCTCAAAAGGTTCGCCATCACTGGTCTAGGATGGTCTTGGTCTAGGTTGGCCTTGGTCTAGGATGGTCTTGATCTAGGTTGGCCTTAGTCTAGGATGGTCTTGGTGTAGGATGGTCTTGGTCTAGGTTGGCCTTAGTCTAGGATGGTCTTGGTCTAGGTTGGCCTTAGTCTAGGATGGTCTTGATAGGTTGGCCTTGGTCTAGGTTGGCCTTGGTTTAGGATGGTCTTGGTCTGGGGTCTGGGATGGCCTCATTTACTCTGGTAGCTAGGTCAGTGGAGTGATAGGGCTGTTTGTTGTCTCTCCATCCAGTGGTGACTCATGCAGTGGTTTCTTCTTCTGAGAGAGAAGAAACTCAAGGACTCCTGAAGTCCGGGCCCAGAACTAGCCACCCTCTCCTGCACAGTGCTGCCCAAACAAGGCCAAGGCCAGCCCAGACTCCCGGGTGCAGAAGTAGACACCACCTCCCAATGGGAGGAGCTGCAAAGTCACATCACAAGGGGTGGCCACAAGGAAAGGTCAAGAATTGAGGACATTTTTGCCACATCTACAACAATACCAGTAGATTTATACTTATTTATAAATAAAGAATAAAACTGGATTCTCAGAGATTAAGACATCATTTCCCTCATATGCAATAAATCATTGATTCCTTCTTCATCCCAGGCATCTAATAGACCAACTTCTGTCTCCCTTAGTCATGTTCTTGCCTCTTCCCACAGCTCTCACTATGTCACTCATACTCCCTTCCATCATCTCAGGAGCCTCCAGCGTGCCCTCCAGGCATCCATGTCACCACTGTGTTTCCCTATACAACTATTCCAGGTCACTATTCCTGAACCGCAGCTTTCAGTGCCACTATTTACATGCTGATGGTCTCTTTCCCTGGTGTGGCCTTCCAGGACCTCCTGGCTGGGCCCGTCCTTGCTTTCCTGCCTATTTCCTGCTGCACCCTTGACCCTCCACTGATTGGTGACTGTGCCTGCTCCGACTCCTAACCTTCGCTTTCACCACTCCCCACCCCTCGCCACTCCCCACCCCTCGCCTGAAATGCCCTCTGGTCCCCACTCCATCTGTGTATCTAAATTCTTCCCATCCTCGAAGACCCGACTCAAACAACCCATCTTTTGTCGAACCTCTGCTGAGCAGAATAACCCATTTGTGAGCTTGCCCTTCAAACCCATAATGCGAGTTTTCCAGGCTACTCATCGGGCATGGGGCCAGGTCTTTAGGGTGTATAGTATGCCGTTGCCGTTTTTCCTTTGACTTCTGTTTTCTGAAAAAACACACACACTTCTGTTTCTTTCTCAATTATTTCCTTGAAGATGAGAACCATGAGTTTTGAAGACCACCCTCCCTTCCCCAATACTGCCATGCAGTGGAGGGTAGGGCCCTGTAACTGTTAAATGGCTAAGCCCTTGTGTCTTTGCCATATAATCTGGTGAATTTGAGATAAAGGAGTGTGGCTGGGAGGTAGGAAAGGAGGAATAATTTCAGAAGAAAGAAGTAAGTGATAATACCACCTTGGCTCCATTTTCAACTTTACATAGTGGGAGGGGGTGGCATTCCAGAAATGGGCACTTGTTGGGGAAAAGACTGAAATACAGCCCGGCAGAGGGCACTGCCCTGAACGTACTCGCCCTGTCTGTGTCTGCCTCTTTAACTATGAAGGAGAAATAGTAGTACTTTCAGTGGCATTTTCCATTTTCAGAAGACGGCCATGTCCTTGGATGAACGGCACTGCAAAGAGTGATGTGTTTGGACTGTGTTCTCAGCATCTTTAAAATAATGTACTCTTTCTGATTATATTTTGGCCTGCCGACCGCCAAATGTGGACATTATTTCATCAGTGTGGTTTGTAACTAAAGTTAAAGCCTCGCTTGAGGACACAGGTGGACATGTTCTGGCAAATAAACGGCATGTGGGTGGTTGGCAGAGGCAGGGACTCACAAGAAGCAGGAGGAAAAGAGCAGGCAATCAGGGAAAAACCCGTTATGTCCAGGACAGGTAATAGCCGGCACGGGGTGAGTGAGGGGACCTAGGGAGGCAGGTTGGGGAGGTGGCATCCATGTGGGTATCTCTGAGTAAGAATCCAGTCTTATTCTCACTTCTGAGATGGTAGATTTTTGGGGGGTTGACTTTGACATGTTCACATTTCCGATTTTTAAAAACCGACATTCCCCATTGTTCTTCTGAGTTTTTATTCAACATCACCATGTTTGCTTTCCGGTGCCTGCTGGGAAGGACGTGGATGGGCGGTTGGAACCATCCCCTGCTGAGAACCACACACACTCCATATGCTGGCCACACCCCTCAAGGTCGCACTGGGGTCATCTAACACCTCAGCTCTGCCTGCCCAACCCCTTTCCTAACATTCAGGGCAGTCACAGTGCTTCTTGTCGCCACAGTTTTAGACTGGGGTCCCTACCCGGGACCTTTCAGGCACCAGCAGTCAGAGCTAGGCGAGCAGTCAGAGCAGGAGCGTCCGATTTGTCGCCAACACCATTTTCCAAACACACACGAGCTGAATTCTATTTGGCCCGTTCAAAAATCAATTTCCAGCTCTCAGACAAATTCTGATTTTTTTTTTTCACATAACCCTGTACGTGTAAATAGTTTCACTGGTTCGCCCGTTTGTACTCAGTTTAAGGCAGACAGTTTCTTCTGAGATCCAGAAATACCGCAGCTTTCCCAACATGTGACAGATCTGCAGTCTGGAATTTTTATTGGGAGTCGACTGGCACCCACAGAAAGGCCAGAGGAAAAGATACACATTCTGTTCGCATCAGTATCATCAGTTGCATCATACTTGCATTATGGAATTAGTTAATTCAAAAGTAGGGGTGTGTGTGTGTGTTTCTGTGACAGCTAAGCCACCCCCCCACACCTTTTCTTAATTTAACATTGATCAAAGCTTAGCCCCACTCATTCATTGACACGCATTTATTGAGATCTTCCTATATGCCTGGCATATACTGGGTGCCTAGGTGGCGGGCACACAGGGAGGAATAGAATGATGCCTGGCCTGCAAGAAGGGTTTGCAGACAGACAAACCAATCAGTGCAGGGTTCTACCTGCCGGAACAGCTGCCTGGACACAGCAGCTGCTTGATGCCCAGCAGTCGGTGACTCCAGGCACTGCCACCACGTGTCCTCGCTCCCCTCTCTGCCTTGCAGCTCCTCTCCCTCCCATCTGCCCTGCAGGTGAAGTACAGTGACGTTCACCTTCCTCAGGGTCAGTTTGATCACTTATGTTTTCACCAGCACAACTTCTGGTTCCTTTTCTGTTCAGATTTTAAATACTGTTCTTGTGCCCACCAATCCAGAAGACCCACGCTCGCCCAGTCTGCCTCCTCCTCCACCTCCATCAATCATCATACGGAAGCCCCTCCCACTGGTCTCCTTTCAATCTTTGCTCATCCCTCCAAAATCCCTCCCTCTCACATCCCCACAAGGCCTAAGACTGCCTACCTATGAGTAGTGCCTTGTTCCTCCAAGTTTTTCTTAGTGCTTTCATCCTTTAGGGCAAAGTCCTCCTCACTTATTTTGTGCTTTATTGCTTTCCTCCCTCCCCCAAATATTTGTCATGTCATACCAAGCCATTCTCCCTTCTTAACTGCCTACATTTTAATACTTTTCCATTAAAAAACAGAGGAATTGTTACTAATATGATATTGATTGGCTCACTGATTGTTTTAAGATTTAACTCATGTCCCCAATAACTCTTGCCTCCTGGGGGCCTCAAGACATGGGCCTCACACCTGTCAGAACTTCTTATCCGTGGATGCCGTGTCTCCTCTCTGATTGTGCTGGTTTCCCCTCTCGCACTGAGGGAATCATCCTACCTGTGCCCGCTGACTCTTTCTTAGAAGACACCATCGCTTTGGAAAGGTGGCATCCTGGAGCCAGTTAGGAACCTTTGCAGTACTAGATCAGGACAGAAGGGGCCAACGATGACCTGGACCAGGGTGGTGGTGATGGAGATGGGAGAAGTGATCAGATTCAGGTTCTGTCTCAAAGGAAGGCTGCAGGCGCTGTGTGCGGTTTCGATGGGAGGTCAGAGATACTGACCTGAGCTCTGGGACCTGAGTGAAGGCTGCGTCGTGGATTTACTGAGGCAGAGAGCCTTGAGCTGAGCAGATCAGGGCGATAGCCAAAGTTCAGTGTCATTTTCTTAGTGGTACATTGAGATGCCAGCTGAGCGATGAGTGGGTGGGCAGGTGGACAGACGCGTGTGGCAGTGGCAGCAGAGATCTGGGTTGGACATAAAGATTTGGGAGTCTCGGCATAAGCACGGGATGTACTGAGGGCCATGGGGCTGCATGAACCACCTGGGAGGAGAGAGAGAGAGGAAGCCAGAGCTCCGCAGTTCTCAGATACTGACAGGCAAGGAAGGTGAAGCAAATCCAGTACAGGTGCTTGCGAGGGAGTAGCCAGTGAGTTAGGAGGAGGAAGAGAGGACTCTCTCTTAGAGATGAAGAGAGTTTTGGCGAGGAGAGAACTAGCAGGTCAACATTATCAATAGAAGGGACCTGTTGGAACACTTCTGACTCAACATTTACTTACCTGTCTCCCCTTTAGATGGGAAGCTTGGCTGGGACAGGAACCATGTTATTCGTCCTTATAGTGCTGGTACCAAGGGCAGTGTCTAGGCCAGCGGTGGGCAAACTTTTTGACCCGAGGGCCACAATGGGTTCTTAAAGTGGACCGGAGGGCTGGAACAAAAGCATGGATGGAGTGTTTGTGTGAACTAATATAAATTCAAAGTAAACATCATTACATAAAAGGGTACGGTCTTTTTTTTTTTTTTTTAGTTTTATTCATTTCAAACGGGCCAGATCCGGCCTGTGGGCCGTAGTTTGCCCACGGCTGGTCTAGGCTCAAAAAATAACTGGTTGGCAAATGGTTGAATGGATGGAAGGACAGATGGGTAGATGAATAGGTGGATGGATGGATAGATGGATGGATGGGCAAACAGACGGATGGATGGCTAGATGGATGGATGACTTGGTGAATGGATGACTGAATAGATAGGTGGATAGAAGTCTGCTTATGGTTGTCCCTGTATACAGTTACACGTGGTGTACATGTTCCTGTCACTCTCACTAATGTTTATCACCACCATGCTTACGATTTCAGCTCCTAGATCTGTAGCGCCCCCTAGCATCTTGGAGAGTTCTGAGCCCCCTGTGACCATGACAGTTGTGTGATGTTGACTGATTTGTGCTTTTTCTTGCTTGTTTCCTCTTTCCTCTTAAACAACAGCTTTACATTCAGCCCATGATGAGGGCTGGCCTGAATTATGAGTGCTACCGATTCGGCATTTCACCTTCCACGAACGCGCTGGTGATTGGTGCTACCGTGATGGAGGGCTTCTACGTGATCTTCGACAGAGCTCGGAAGAGGGTGGGCTTCGCCGCAAGCACCTGTGCAGGTGAGCGATGCTGGCGTCGGACCGGGAGCCCTGCCTCCAGAGCTTTTGTCAGTTCACTCACTTGGGAGCACTTCTCGACAAGTCAGTTGTGTTGAATTCACCCACTCACGCCTGTAATCGTGATCAAAGTCTTGTTGGTAAAATGTACTGGGGTTTGCTGAGAGGAAAAAGCGAGTTCACCCACGTAAGACTCTCAGTGCCGTTCTTGGCACATGGAAAAGGCTAGTAAGTGTTGGCCTTCCTGTTCCCTCTCATATTAAACTTGCATGGGCACCTCATCCCAGAAATAAAAATACTCCAAGGGACCTGGGGGTGGATCGTCAGTGTTTGACAGTGAAAGGACTGAAACAGAAAATTCACAGATAAACTATGTATATTGTTTCCTCAAAGACATCCTATAAAATAAGAAATCAATGCTTGTCACAGCTATTTCTCAAAAACCTAAAATAATGAGACCAAGGAGCCCGTTTTTCTGACAGAAGTCCTTTGTGAGACGGCAGGACGGTGACAGGCAGCACTGTTCTGCGAAGCCTGGCTTGAGGCTTAGCCAGATCTACGGAGAAGCCACAGAGCACAGTCAAGTTGATAGGATGGTGACACTCCTTAAACTTGAAAATGTCTTCAGAGTGACAGTAGGCTTGAGATGGAGTGTCCCCACCGCACACGGGTACTCACGACTAACAGTCGAGCTGGTAAGGAAAAGGCAAGTCATAGATGGAGAGCGGGAGACAGTGGAGGAAGCACGTGCCCAGGAAGTGTGTGTCAGGCCACCGTGTCTCCAGTCGGGTGTCAGAGGACTGAAAAGGTCTGGGGCATCGGTCAGGGTCAGGAACAGAATGAATGAAGTGCTCAGGGATAGAACAACTAAGCAAATGTGAGGCAGGAAAAAGAACTAATGACAGCCGAAACTGGTTTGGCTCAGTGGATAGAGCGTCGGCCTGCGGACTGAAAGGTCCCAGGTTCGGTTCCAGTCAAGGGCATGTACCTGGGTTGTGGGCACATCCCCAGTGGGAGATGTGCAGGAGGCAGCTGATCGATGTTTCTCTCTCATCAATGTTTCTAACTATCTCTCTCCCTTCCTCTCTGTAAAAAAATCAATAAAATAAAATAATAAAAAAAAAGAACTAATGACAGGGGGTGGAACAGAAGAAAAGTGGGGTGATAGTGAAATACACGATCACCATGTAGTGGAGGAAAGGGAACAGGAATTTGATGAAAGAAAGCCTTAAACTTGAGACATAGTTGTAGGACAGGCAGGAACGCTGACCAACCAGACCTTCACTCTGATCGACAATTAACCAGAGTTTGCCTGGCTGGTGTGGCTCAGTGGTTGAATATCAACCTATGAACCAGGAGGTCACAGTTCAATTCCCAATCAGGGCACATGCCCGGGTTGTGAGCTCGATCCCCAGTAGGGGGGGTGTGCAGGAGGCAGGTGATTAATGATTCTCTCTCATCATTGGTGTTTCTAGAAATTTTCATAAAAAATATTTTTAAAACAACAAAAATTAAAAATAAAATTAACTAGAGTTTGGGGGAGAGTCATGGAGAGGAGGGTGAGTGGGAACTCCAGTCACAGCTGATTTGTTCAGGAGGGAGAGATTCCAGCTATTATTTCTTGCTGCCGAAGTCGTGGTCTCAAAATGGGAGTCCTGGGAAATACAGTTGGCAAGTGATGCATCATATTCTTGTCCCAACGCACTGCCATCCCCAAAAGTAAAGGAATGTGGAGAACAGGAGAGAAATGTGAGAAGGGAAAATGACCTCTGGAATCCTTAGGCCAGTTCCCATTCAGCATAAATAAAATCCCCCATCCACGAAGGCATGGGCGGTGCTGCGATGTACCTTCTTAAATGTCAGCGCAGAGTTCTCCGACTTGTACTTGTGACCAGACTCGGGGGCTGGAGACTTGTCATTTCTGAATCTTGGTCATGAGCAAAGGTGACCCTTTCAGACGGGCGCTAACTCTTCCAGCCCGTTTGCTGTCCACTAAGGGGGTCCTCTCTCCCTGCGTTCCCTGGGGCCGCACAACCTGAAACACCGGGTCTCCCAACTGTGGGCGTTTTACTTCTTTAAAACCAGGGAATCTAAGAACCAAAGCAGTTTCCCCACAATTCGTGTTCCCTGGTTAAACGCCACTGAAGTAGATCGAGGCTGCTATGGCAACAGCCACTACATCGTCCACTTTAGTGGCTGCTGTGGAGACGGCCATCCCGACGTCCCGTCTGCTGCTGTTGGAAGTGCTCTGGGCACAGCTAACACGAAGCCTCCCTAGGCAGAGACGTTTTCCTGCGAGCCATCCTGAATTCCTGGTCAGGTGTTTGTATTGAAGTTTGGTTCTGCTGTTTGTTGAAAATATATCTAAGGTGTGGGCACTTAGCCCTTCGATTTTAGCTGCGGTGGGAATGCACACTGAGTCTCTTCTTCGGTGCAAATCGCTTAGCCATTAAAGTAATGGCTCCCCTCAGGGCTGCAGTTAGGAGCCAGGCATGGTCTGTGGCACCATAATAAACGGAATGAAGTGCTGCCTTTTGTTCTATTTCAAGTGTTTATTTATAACATTTTTTCAATCTTACTTTTTATTTAGTTACTTTAATATGTTTTTATTGATTTGAGAGCGAAAGGAAGGGAGAAAGAGAAACATCGATGAGAGAAACATTCATCTGTTGTCTCCCATACATGCCCCAAGTGGGGACTGAGCCCACAACCTGGGCATGTGCCCTGACCGGGAATCGGACCGGTGACCTTTCGGTTCATAGGACGGCAACCAACTGAGCTATACCGGCCAGGGCTAAAACATGTTTTTTTGTTGTTATTTGGTTGTTTTTTAAAAAAATATATTTTATTGATTTCTTTACAGAGAGAAAGAGAGAGGGATAGAGAGTTAGAAACATCGATGAGAGAGAAACCTCGATCAGCTGCCTCCTGCATACTCCCCACTGGGTATATGCCTGCAACCAAGGTACATGCCCTTGACTGGACTCAAACCTGGGACCCCTGAGTCCACAGGCCGATGCTCTATCCACTGAGCCAAACCGGTTAGGGCTAAAACATGTTTTAAGTAACAAAGAAAATGCTTGAAATCACAGAAAATCGTGTACTTACTGAACACCCAGATATAACAAATGCTATCATTTTGTCATCCTCAAAAATTTGTTATAGAAATAAAAATAAATAAATAAGTATAGCTAAAGCCCCACCTCACTGCACTCCCCAGAGTCACCCTTTATCCTGAAGCTGGTGTATATTCTCATAATTTCACTGCATCGCTACAGCACCCTGGACTGTTATCTATTGCTATGCAACAACTTGCCCCCCAGTGTAGCCGCACTTAACGAGCCTGTATGGAGGGAGGGTGGGGAATGAAGGGGTGAGGGACTGAGCGGGGCAGTTCTGGGCCAGGGTCTCCCCTAAGTCTGCAGCACCTGAAGGCTGGAGGGTCCCCTTCCAAGATCTGTCATGTGGTTGCCAGGGCCCCTCCATTCCTTGCCATGCGGACCTTGCTACAGGCCTATCTGAATGTCCCCTCGATGGGTTCCTGGTCACCCCAGAACAAGTGATCCCAGAGAGAGTGTGCAACAGAGCACCCAAGACAGAAGCCGCAGTCATTCTGTAAACTCATCTTGGAAGTGACATGGTGTCACTCCTGCCCTATTGCTTTGGTAGATGGGGGAGGGGAGCGCGCAAGAGTCAATACCAGGAAGCGGAGCCATTGAAGGTCATCCTAGAAGCTGGCCATCATATACCTATAAGTAGAGTTTACAACACAACACAAGTTGGTCGTTGGGTTTCTTGGTATTTCTTAATTTACACGATTGCTGCTGTATGGTGGATGTCCTTTGTCAACTTGCGTTACTGTTCACCATTACTTTTCCTAGGTTCCCCATGTTCCTATGAGTCCTAGGTCGTTCATTCTGGCCGCTGTGTAGTATTCCATTGCGTGAGTATACCCAGATCTCTTACCCAGTGCCGCCTTCATTCACATCCGGTGGTTTCTCACGTTTGCGAGTATAAACAATACTTTGGTGACCCTCTTGTGCACGCAGATGAGATCTGGAAGTGGAATTTCTAAGTGATTTGGTGTGCCGGGCGTCAGCATTACTGGCGACTGTCAAATTGGTCTTCAAAGTAGCTGGACCACCAGAATTATACCAGAATCTCCATTCCGTCAAAGTATTATCGTAGTTTTTTTGCTTTTTGCCAATCTGTGTGGAATAGTGTCATATTTTATTGATTACATCTGAGATGACGTACCTTTTGATCTGTTTATGGGATGTTTGAGCTTTTTCTCAGATGGTGAATTTTTCTATTCACAGCTTTTGCATGGATTTCTACTTTTTTATTGACATATGAATTCTTTCTATATTTGAGATTAATTTTTCTGGCCTGTGTGCATGGTGAATCTCTTCTGATCTCTCTGGCCTTTTTTTTTTTTTTTTTGCTTGTTTTTGGTGTCTTTTATTTACATTTTTTCTTAAATTTAGTGAAATAAAATTTACTAATCTTTCTTATGGTTTTACTCTGCTCTTACTTAAGAAATTCTTCCTTAATCTAAGAAAATAGAGTTGTTATTTTTAAAGATACTATATACTTTCTAAATTTTTTCTTCTAACATGTGAAATAGGAATCTAATTCTTATAAGGATATTCAATTTTCTCAGCATCATTTACTGAATATACAGTTTCCCCTCTGATTCCTCTCAATATTTTATTATGAAAAATTTTAATATATGTATTGGCCATTCTTTCTTCAGCCGTGTTCACTCTGTTTAACCTATTCAGTGAGTTTTTAATTGCATCAACTATAGTTTTCATTCTAGAAATACTATTTTGCACTTTTTCAACCCTACTAGCTCAGTTTTTGTAGTGTTCTATAATTTGTTGTGGCTTCTATTTCCTTTATCTCCGTTACCATTTTTAATTTAATTTGAAAAGTTGGCTAGGTAATATTCAAAAGCTACAATGAGTCATGCAGTGCCCCACTCAGGGACAATCATAGAG